TACTATTTATATTACAAATATGATGATGAATATATAGAATGACAAACAAATCGACTAATAGTATAGAGTAGAGAACAATAATAGTCTTTATATATAATATATAACAAAATAATAACCATCTGCATAAAAAAATATAATATAAAAATATTATTAATTGCGCAAGCGTGTCTCTGTTGAGAGAGTCGTCGATTAGTTAGATCAATCACTAGTTTTTCTGCTGTTATTGCAAAGGATCGGCGTGACGCATTGTTGTGATCTAAAGTAACAATTGTTTTGTTGGTCAATTTATCGATACGCAACGGCAATGGCGACTATCGTGAAATTGTGGTCATTGTTATCGACCTCTCGATTTTTTGGCAATATCAGGACGATGGTTAGAGATTTCGAAACTTTATTTTATTCTTTGTCTAATGACGACTGTGTTTTAGAATAAATACATATTGTAAATTTTATTATCTATCTAACATTAAAAAACGAACTCTTTGAACTTATTTGTCAAATTACGATAAATAAGTCAAAAGTATTTGAAGAACATTTCCTAATTAAAAAAAATACTTCTAATTACTACTACTACTACTACTACTACTACTACTACTACTACTACTACTGATAATTTCTATCTATATATATCCTTTACTTATTGTTGAGAATACTCAAACAATCGCGATTCGTGAACACAATGATTTCACATACATAGAAATATTACTCGTATCATGATATTGTTCATCAGTGCATCAAGTGGAACACATTCTATTGGTTACCGTATCGTACTTATCTACCCAATGTTCATCCGTACATATATTTCTTACATAGTCTTTCTCTTCGATGTAGGTACCTATACACGTCAAGGTCTACTGACCTTCCGGGAATTATTACGCGCTTACTGCTTGCATTAGATGATTTATGAGGAAAAGGAACTTATGATTTATACCGACTATGTACAGGCACTTAGTAGGTAAGTATACAGAACTCGTCTCAATATCTAGTATTTTTATTTGTTAAGTGCGTATTACGCCTACTACTTTTTTTCTTGTAAAGTAAATGCTATGATTTTATCATAAAATAAAATTAAACTGCCTATGGTGTTACGACCTCCGTCGCAGATAATATAGATTGATAGGTACCTACCTATCAATCTATATTATCTGCGATCTACCTAGATGTAGGTACATCTGTTTGAAGCTGAGTTGGGTCGCCTATAGTTTAAATATATATCGGGAAATACAGTAAAAAATAAAGTATGTAATAGTAATTGTCTTTTTTGCAGTGTAACTGATATATTTTTGTCATGGGTAGATTATAATGTATAAAAGTCCAAAAAGCGTTAAGCTCATGTTTATTATAATAATTGTATGTTTGCCCGTGTCACATTATAAAACTTGATTATTTTAAAACGATATCGATATACCACGTCAAGAAGTACCTGTCAAGTTCATTATAAAAATATTATGTTACCCCTTATTTACTTAGGACTAAGCGAAATATATTATAACACATAGAAAAAAATATAGGTACATTCGTTAATTTGCATTAGACATAACAAACTAAATAGGTGTTAATAAAATCTTACTCAATAGAAAATGAAAATTTTATCATTAATTAATAGTTCAACAAGAAACAACAACACCGCATAGTAACTAGTAAAATTACGATGTCGCATTTCTATTCACGCCTCGCCTCGAAATTATCAACATTATACACTGATAAATAAAGCAATTTATCGTTGAACACAAAATTTATTGTATGCCAGCAACATAATATTTGAATTCGATAATCGGCACACTGTAGGTACATACAAAATCGGATTACGGTAATTTATTGTTGGTGCAACTTTACATAACCAACCAGTGTGTCGAGACGAGAGTTGGCGTTGTTAGAAACGCATGAAATCCAACAAAAGTAGACGAGCGGCGTCTCACAGCGCGAGTAAGCGATTCAAATGCTAATATATCACAAGGCGGTCGCTTCGTAGTGCCGCTCATTGGCTATGCTATTTACATTAACATATATAACCGTGTTTGCTCCGCCTACCGTGGTTCACGTCACGCCGCTTCCGAACGTCATTAATTACAAATAATTAGCGTATCGTGACTCGTGTACTAGAAATATTTAGCTTGCGATGCGCGAACACACCTACAATTGATTATTCGAAATATACAACAATGTATCGATTTATCTTTTGAACGTAATGTGTATTTACAATCAATGCAAATGACGCTATATCTATACACTATCCATGAAGCAATGAACATTCCAATAGGCCACGATATAGTAATCTAGTTATATTATGCCACATTACGGTTTCCACAAAATTGTTTGTTCTAACAATGATGATTGTATTACATATTATAACTATATGATAAATAATATCACTTATAAGTTCGCATACATCAATTGTCGGTCCATATATTAATTATTATTTACTACTTGAAATTAAAGCCAGTATTTAAACATAAATAATAGGGCAGAAGAAGATTGAAAAAGAAACGGTGGACTGTGTGAAAAATGATATGGTAAGAAAGGGAGTAAATAACGAGATAACTGCGAACAAGGATGAATGGAAGAAAAAACATATTACGCCTACCCCAAATAAATGGGATAAGGAAGAATTAGATGAAAATGATGATGATGCAACAATAAATAATATATGTTACTTGAAATATGTAAAACACCGAAAAACAAGCAAATGACACATTTGTTAAAAGTGGTACAAAAAGATATAGACTGTATGCTAAAAAATTTTCTTAACCTAAAAAATGTTATCTTTTATATTTTACAAATAGTCATTCTTCATACGAAAATGAACAGATTCAACAAAACAGATTACTTACATTATCATAAGAAATATCTTCTGTAAGTACTATGCAAATTATCTAAGTAAGATATGTTAATGCTTTGCATAGCTTTAACTCTTCAACTTCACACCATTCCCGGTGCTAACTACAATTCGTATTGTTTTTCCATTCCGTATTCGCTAGAGGCCACCGATGGCCCAGTCCGCAGTTACAAATCATAAGCATGAGGCAGCGACTCACGAACATGCCAAATACGGCACCACGAATGTCGAGTTCGACCCTCGTTCTTACGATTTATGCCAGCTGCTTATGGTGCAAATTAGTCGCATGTCGACGTAGGCGTGCGCTCGCAAATTTACCGTATTTTTTTTTTGGTAAAGTTTACAAGTTCAAAAGTTACATGAAGTTAGTCATAAACATGTTGCTGCTGTTACATGTCTAATGAATATATATAATATTCATAAAAAATACTGAATATTTATAAAAATAAAAGATTATATCTAACAGTACTTATTCTCACATATACATGTACAGGTTGTGTTCTTTACTTAGTCTTTTGAGGGCATCATCAAATATACACATACGTAAAATTTATGTTTCATTTCATATTACTCAACTGTCGACGTTCGACGTCGTAGTCCTGGTACGTATTACTGGTGGCAGCGACAAAATAAAAAAAGCGCTGGAAGTGTTGTATGCAAACTCAATGATTTAGTACATTTTTGACATTTATTAATATCAAATTAGAAATTCGTCTCAAAAACTTCTTTATTTATATCACCATTATAAAAAACAACCTAATCATTCACATTAAATTTCTAAACTCCTTAATTTCTAATTTCATAACCAAAAGCTTTTCCAATATCAATTTTCTACGAATAAGAACCAGATTAAAATACATTGTCCCCAAATTACAAAAACGTGAACTGTATTTTGACACAATCAATCCATCAGCCTTATAAGTGGTAATGATATCGTAACAGAGTTAACACACATGGCGATATCACCTGCCTGTATCTGCGCCGGCGCATGCCAACAATGATCGTGACGATACGTGGGTGATGCGCGTGCTCTTATCAATCATTTTAAATGAAGTCGTCCAATTTATTGAAGCGGTTATGATTTTTTGCATGACACTATAGGATGTGTCAACAAGTGGGTAGAGAGCTAAAGGCGAGGAGGCGTAAAACAATAACATTGTAAAATGTGAACAAACGATCATTAAACACTCTGTCTTTCTTCGTTTAAGTTCAGGCAAGTTTGATATGTTTAAGATCGTGGCAACCTTCCAAACTCAGTCTAGTCAAAACAATAACTTTTTAAATAAAGTATATTTTTACTAGCTTACTAGTAATTAGTTAAAGTCAAGTGTACCCTCTTTACTGTAAGCTAAGAAAAACTGCCGGTATACTCAACCACAACACGTTAAACATAATAATACAGATAGAATTTAACATAGATTGGGAGAAGCACAGTGTAAGAGTTTCAGTTCTATATTTAAGAATTTATAACATTCAAATAAGGAAATTTCAAGAGAAGTTTTACCAGTTAAACTACAATTTATGTAAGTGCCTCGCCCTTTTACAAATGCAAACAGTTCATTTGCAAGTAGTTTATACTTACATATACGACCGATAAAGTAACTTTAATGATTAAATTGGAAACATCGTTTCGGTAGCGAATGCTCTAGTTCTTGATTTCGTCATGCAGTGGGCGTCGGTCGGCGTACTTGGTACGTAGGAGCACTGTTGACATCGATCATCTACCCACCCCTCTGAATTTCGAAATCAGATGCCATAGAGTTTTTCGCAAACTACCTGTCAAATCAAGGTTGCATGCTATTGGTATTCAATATTCTAGACGTAGCATAGTGCGAATGATAGCTGGTTTTTTACTTTAAATTAATTTAAAGAATTTAAATTATTATTATTGAAGATTTTAAAGTTGAAAATATTTCCATTTCTGTAGTTTGTATTCCTGTCATTTGATTAACTTAATATCTGCATAAGAACCTCACTAGGAGCAATTTGGTCGGAGAGTTTTATACAATGACAGATTAACTGTACAGATCATATGCCCTAGTCTCCTCACCGTCTATAGACTAAAATTTTTGCATATATTGTAACGCTAATTCTTCACTGATTAGGCACATTTCTGATATAAATATTTAACACTTCTATAACAACGTATTGTCTATTGTTCCAGGTCGGTGGCGCACGAGCCCGATGAGCGCGTGCGCTGCGGCCGCCATGCGCGAAAAACACGCGGCGCCGCGCCGCCTCGCATCCCCTCCGCCTTCCCCTCACGACCACCACAGCCCCCTTGGCTCACCACGCGCAGACGAGCCGCTCGATCTCAGAGTAACGCACAAACGTCCACAACGGTTAGAAGATGAGAACTGCAATTTGATCACACCATCACCGCCGCCACATCCCACGCATCCTGCTCATCCCGCTCATCCAGCTCTACTACAATTCTGTCGGCGACTACCATTAGCTTTACCGGCATCATTTGGACGTTACCCGTTCCTCCCAGCGGCAGCAGCGACGTTACTCGCTCCAGGGACCCCGAGGGCCCCCCCTTTACCGCAAAACCCTGGAGCGCCTAGAGCACGGGACAGATACACATGTTCGTACTGTGGTAAAGCATTTCCTCGCAGTGCAAACCTGACGCGACATTTACGGACGCACACTGGTGAACAGCCCTACCGCTGTAAGTATTGCGAGCGGTCGTTCTCCATATCCTCAAATTTACAGAGACACGTAAGGAATATACATAATAAGGAGCGACCGTTTCGATGTCGTCACTGCGACCGTTGTTTTGGACAGCAGACAAATCTGGACAGACATTTAAAGAAACACGAAGCAGAGAATGGGGATGATAGCCGTCGAAGGTCCCCTGACGAGACCTACTTTGAAGAGATCAGATCGTTTATGGGCAGAGTGGCCCCAGCCCGCCGCGCAGCTGCCGCCGCCGCCTCTGCAGCGGACCACACCTGATAGTGGTCTGAAAGCAACAGTCGCCGTTACAATAATCTGGTCGATACATCCAAATGACTTTCGTGTATTTTATTGAACTTTTGTTGACTATATAGATTTTGTTAAAAATCTACATATTTGCTTAATTTTAGAACTCGCCAGAAACAATATTGACCACCTTGATTGTATATTCCGAATTTTAAAAGTGACCTGATTAGTTACTCTTTAATAGCTATGTCACCTAAACGTGTTACATAAAGATTTTGCTGTACGTATTCTTAATACCGCTTGTTGTCATCAAAACGGAACCAAATGTGTGGTCATTTGATTTTAGTTATTAATAACCAATTGTTTGACATCTACAGGTTTTGTAATATATTATTTCATGACATATCATTTTATCCTATGTGCAAGTTGTTAAATAAATAATTTAATATATTTATGATTGAATCCTACAATTGAGCATCACGCGTCGCAATTAAAAAGAACATAAATATAATATATAAGTATTGTAAGAGTATGAAAAGTGATATATTGTAATATAAGAGAACAATGTTCCAAAAACTATAAATCATGTGTAAACTTATTCAAAATATGAAAACAATCTGATCCATTATATTGCACCGTTTTCTGATCAGTTATTGGAAGGAATTTGCTTATCTGTTCTTGTATAAGATCGAAGACAGTTCAGTGGTTTTGTACTTTATTAGGCCCACCGTACGCATAACAGATGCACTCAAATGAGATATTGTAATGTGTGTACCTACGAAATTTTTTACCTTTTTTGCTGGGATTAGTTTATATTTAAAATATCCATTATAGTTATATAATATCACGAAGCCGGTTAACCTATAATATTTACTTATCATTTTGACTTGCTTATAATAACTAAAATGTCTTATAAATAATTTTGAAATAAAATAAATATATTCATTCATTCATATATTCATTTTTCACATTAGTATATCCAAAGGTCTTCTAGAGATAAAAGAAACAAAAATATAAATTATTTTACAATAATTATACATAATCCAAATTCGTGAAATAATGTAACTATATTTAATTATTAGATTGTAATATAAATAAAGTGATAATGAATCTCATGTATTTACTGTAAATACGAGTATGAAGCCTTCGTTCAAAGTAGATTAGTAGTTTTTAGCGCGCATACCGAATTTTTAACTACCGATAGTAATAGAACGTACGAATATATTCCTTGTCATAAAAGACATAGATTTTAATATTAAGTGCTCCGAGAGTGTTCGATAAAATAGAATAAGTTATAGATAAATAAATAGTTATTAATATGTATATAAGTAGATTTTTGTATTCGTTTCTTTTTTGTACATTTTGCTTTGAATGTAATATAAATTAGTATTATTAGTCTGAAAGGAAACGCCGGTTACCAATAAAATTATAACTTGTTGCTTATTGAAGATATTATAAATATTTTTTTTTATAAATTGTTGTAGAGATTGTCTAAAATTTATATGTACTTACATATATACCGTATGTTGCGTAAATTATTTCGTTTCTAATGTCACACGAGTTACAAATCTGACAGTTTTGTGGCGTAATATGACATCATTGTTAAGTTTCAAATTTTACGCTAATTACATATTTTTATCATATTTTGAGATTCTAAATTAGACATTGTATATTATTAAATAAATAGAGATTATGTAATTTCAATATGATGTAATCATGCTTTCCAAATTACTAAATTTAAGATAACTATACAACTGTGATTTTAATTTATTACTGGAAATTGGAATTATACATCATACTTTGCATTTGATGATTTGTAAAGTCCATCAAAGAAAGTACTATCAATGTCTCAACGTTCCTTTAAGTATAGATAGATCTCTATTATTGTTACGAGTTTAAAGTTTACTTTATTTCCTTAACTATTTTTTAACAATATATATTATCAATAGCAAAGAAAATAAACGATAGGATGAAATGGCATATACAATTGATGACGTAGTTTTCTTATTGTATGTAAATCTTACCGAGCAATGTTTTAGAGCAATTATTATTTAATTTGTGAAATGGGAATCCAATTATATTTAGGAGCACGTAGTGTTCTATAGGGTCTTCCAATGCTAATAACAATATAATTACATATTTATATGAAGATAATTCAACGCTCTGTTTCATTATAAAAGTTGTAAAATGGCATATCTTTTGTAACCAGGTTTTATCTAAGGTTCAATTATTTTAATTTTACTGTAGACTCTATTTTTTGTGGTATCTCTTACTGATATTTTCTCTTCATTAAACTACAATAAGCAAAAAGGAAAAGCAAAAATCAAGATTCTTAATTTGTTGATATGATAATTGGACTACAAGGATTCTTGTTGAATTCAGACTTTAGCCTTAATTACATGATATCACATGTAGATTACCAAGAAACCTACTTACTACAACCCTTCTTGTCGCCTAGTATGAGTTTATTACTGAAACAACATTTACCTATTGCTCTTAACTCATTTTTATATTATTAACTATTGGTCACAAAATTATGATTTATATAATTACTGTAATATGTATGTATGCAGGTATAAATAAAGAAAACTCTGTTGTATTCATTATAACAAATTTATTATTATTAATGTTACCTATTTGACTAATATGCCATGACAACAAGTTTTAAGACAAACAAAAGATGCTATTTAACTTATCGTAGAATGGATAAGTAATAGTTAGAGATTATTACCTTTATTGTTTTGTACTTTTGATACCTTTTAATCGATCAAAGGTCACCGATTTACCTTGTCAAAATGAATTAAATAACAATAAATTGATTTTCGTATTTTTACTTCATAGCCTTCATACCCTTAGGCATTATGATTGCCATGTTATTCTATAAATTCATAAGCCTCTCAATTTACGTAAAGTGATAGATCGCCAATTTTAAAATATATGGCCTTGTTAGGTATGTTACTAAGTTTATATTCTAGTTTGTTGTGTATATAGGTAAGTAGTTTATTGTAACAAAAGTAAATTGCAGACATATAAAGTTATGTAGAAGAATATATATATAAAATAATTAAGAATTAGGAGCAGAACAATTAATCAGTATGTCGAGAACAGAAGAAGTCATTTAGACTTTTATTTTTACCGCGCCAAAGTAATGCGCCACAGATGCACAATATAACACGGTGCGCCGTGCCGCGGTGTGCTGTGCGCAGCCGCAGTGGGATGACGAGCGAAGCATGGCTGTATACGCGATGTTAATACTAGTATGAGTATTAATAGCCTCATACGAAGAAGTTACAATTCTCGTTTGCTCCAGCCTCGTGCATCGTCGTTTTGTGATCGATTTATGTCAAAATCTCCCATCCACACGACTAGGCTGAAAATGTTCATATACCTAAAGATAAAAATTCCGTACCTGTACGACGATTCTCATACCGTTGGTATCCCTAAAAGTATACCATAATATAATAAATTAGTGATAATATATCCCAGTTCGCTCCTTGTAATAGAGTTTTAAACTAGATTCGTTAATCTATTTTGATAATTATTAAATACAAGGTACATTGTAATTTACTACTATGCCCGTTTAACGCAAATATAATTATTGCAAATTGTCTATTTTTCCATCTATGACAGATGGAAGGGGACACAGCATATACTCGGTATATTTACCGGAACTGATCAGATCCTTAGCAATCAATAGATAATTAATTAGTCCCCTGGTCCAGTTGTTTTTTCTTTTGGAGTAAATGTTATACGTATGGTTTAAGTAATCATTATTTATATAACTTACTTAATCTAACAATAACTGGATTAATTAATTCATTCATATACTGTAACATATCGGATGGTATGTTACAGTATATGAATTAATGAAAAACTCTTTATTGATTCTTTCACAGAAATAATATGTATACATATTGTATACCAAATTTATAAAAAGAGACATAATTACAATCCAGAGATGGGCGGCTTATCACCAAATAGCGATTTCTTCCAGGCAACCTTAGGATGGAGAGGAGTGATTACAATTGAGTCAGGTCAAGCTATAATAATAAACTTATTATCAGTATATTTATATTGAAAGTATACTTATTTATAATCTGCATAGCTATAGCAGATTCCTACGAATTACTGACAAATAGCCGCAGTCGCAATCGAAGGGTGCCGCGGGCGCGTCTCTTGCGCAGACTCACGAGCGTTTACGATATGATTATGCTTTATTGCCATTAATTTGCGACAAACGACACCGCCTGAACCATCGAGATCGCTTTGTTGGTAAACCAGCGAATTTATTGTCTTAATTAGAGAAAATCGTGGAATTACCTGTAGTCTACTTTAATAATATATTAATATACCTTTACGACTAAAAAACCAATAACAAATAAAAATAATATCTAAATACATACCTACGTAAGGAATCAAATGGCGTATAACCAGAGACACGGGGATATTCGCTACAAAATTAAAGTTGAAGCAAAAGTACTTGCGTAAAAATCCTCTCATTACTCTCGTAAAGGAATGAAAAATCTCGAATTAATCAATACAGGCTTCGTTATTTCTATAGAAGCATGTTTGTAGTCAATCAACTGTATTATGACAAATAGTAAATTATTCAGGACTGGCTATATACACTGTCGAATATAATCACAGAAAACAAGTATTGTGGAGGTATGTATAGGTATTTTAATTAGATAGGTACAAGTATATTATACATGCAATGTTATTTAGGACTATTTATAACGAGAAAGATTTTATAAAAAGTCTGTCTCACCTATTTCATGCATGCAGCTTGGTTTGTAAGCTGTGGTTCAGTTTAGATGAGGTAGTGAAAATGAGCATAACATCTTAATTATCCAGATGGCAACGTTTGAGGAGTATCACGGGTTTCTCATAATAATTTGAAATATATGTGGTGTTTTTTATTATACTATGATGGCGGCAATCAAGCATACGGCCCATCGGCCATATCATTGTAAACAGTTACCGCAGACTATAGATGCCTAAAACGCTAGGAGTATCACGTGCTCGTTGCCTTAAGATGTACTGTTTGTGTATATAGACGACGGTTTCCACTTACCATCTAGCGGGTAGTCAGCTTGGTTGCTGTTCGAATTATCTGTAAAAAAAGACAACAGATGGCATTGTCTTTTAATCTTACACCCTTTATGCAAGAGGCATATGGAACTGGGCAGATTAAACATAGCAAATCTATTATGATTTATATGTAGAGACGCTGCCAGACACCCTGATATCATTATAAAAAAAAAACGACTACCCATAAACTTTATCATAGACACGCCTGACTCATATCTTACCATGTGAAATATAGACATAAATCACAAATAAAACTTCTGACTCTTTCTGTTAATTTATTTTTATTATGCGCTTACGCTTTTTAATTAATATGTCTCGACTAAGCGGTTATTAACATCTGTAATAATCTCGAGACATTATCTAGATTGGAGATCTCGTTTTTAACTGCCGATAGCGAAACAGTTGCGTTAGAAAGGTACATATTTCAAGGACAACATAATTGGCATTTCTTTAGTTAATAATTATGGGAACATCGTATTAAATATCAAAGTAGCATTAATTACTTGTAAGATCCGATTTTAATCATACTATTGTATATTAGTTTTTATACGCTGTTTCGTATGCGTGTTTAGTTTATTTATGTAATTGGAATGACAAAGAAGCTGCCGGGCTAACTGAATGTAGCCATATGTAGTACATGAAAAGCATCACATTATCATGTAACCCGTATGGTATGTCTCCATATTCGGTAATTAATATTAATTCAATGAAAATGAAAAAAAATATAATGTAAAAACTTGACGTAAATAAGCGGCTAAAATATCCTACATGAATAAATGATTTTTGAATTTTGAATTCTGCGTAGAAAGCGTTATATACACGTAACCGAAAATGTGGATTCTATTCTCATGCTAACTCCCTTATGTATAGGCAGAGAGAACCACCCAACTGATTTTGTTTCACTTTCATAATTCATGCACATACACGTTATTCGAGCATTTTAAATTAAAAATATCCATCATACAATACATACAAACTATCACAAAATACAATTTGTGCAATTGACTACTGTACTATCAGTACCGACAGTATCTTTTCAAATTAGAAGGCGATCTATACCTAATTACGATATAACACTTTCGAGTTCCACTACAGAAGTATCAAAGAGTATTGTAGGATTGGTATGATTTGCATTATAACAAAGAATGATACATACAACTCAGTTTACTATGCAAACAATTTATTTCCAGGCTCACAGTCGTAGTAAAATTGTTAGATTTCAAAATCACAAAGGTAACATTGTAAAATAAACATATTTAATTATATTAAATCTGGGCACAATTTAATGTGGAGTAGTCTACATTGAGTGAGTGTATGTAGTTAGATATCATTGTGAACACAAGTTGGACACGAACAGAATCACTCAGGAGCTGGTGCAATTCACTAGCGAAATCTTATTTTAGTTTTTTATACAACCCAAAATAGCAATTCAAAAATGTTACATTAAACTAAAAGAAAATTATAATTTAATTTATAAGTATATGATGTATTAATATACTAAATATATTTGTTGCTATAAACAAAAATAATAGTGTCCGATTCCAAAAGAAAATCTCATTTATTAATGTAATTGCTATGTTTTCGTTTTTCCACGACTCACGCAGTGTGGGGCAAGAGGCTATAATGATTGCATCGTAATCATCCTGTAGAAGCTGAAACAATATATCGATAATGAAAAAATATTAAATTCCATAAAATGTTTATAAAAAGTATTATTTGCGAATATTATTTATCACTGTCGTCTCACATATTTGTGACATCAACTGAATTAGTTATTTAGAATCGTTGGCACTTAATATTAAGAGTAAATATTGCAATCTTGTCTATGTTATTTATTAAAGGGCAAATAAAAATTCATTTATTTCTGTAACTATAATAGTAGCTTCTTACTCTAAATCACCATCTGTGAGGATTGTATAAATCTATTACCTATATTAAAATCATTCACTATTCATTCTCACAACTTTTTGATTATTTTATTCTATTCAGTTCAACTATAAGCCATTCGCTTATAACTTGCATATAAGTTAAAGTGCCAAAGCAGGGTGGGGCAGGTTACACAACGATGGCACGCCGCGCGGCTGCGCGGGCGCCTTGTTAGCGGCGCGTGCGCATGCCACCGTTGCGTTACATTATTTATTGCTTATTGAAAAACTACCGATAGCTTTTGCAAAATTAGAACTTTTGTGGTTGGTTTCAACTCTCCGTTTTTATAAAATAATTTATATTTGGCAACAAGACATTACTGCAAAAAATAAGTTGCAATTACCTAAATAGATCTATTACCTACTGGATTTACAGGATATAATAATTTTAATTTCAATTATTTTAAAAATAAAAAAATACGAGTATGGTATAGATCGGAGTACAGGACTTAGAACTATCATCAACTATCAGACACGTGTTTCTAAAACTTCAGCCCATTATTATTTGAGAAGCTATAATAGGGAGTATTGATAATAACGTACAGCATTGTTCATACGAACAATACTTATTTTTCCCAGACCTGCTTACTTAATAAACGTATTTTATTAAACCCAATTAAAAAAAAATACGAAATAGCACTACCTAAATATATAAGTGTCAACAGAAAGGTAATTCATACAACATCGCTAGGGTTTTTTTTACTATGGTTATATCATTAGGCAATTTTAATATTAACTACAAACAATTACTACAATACTAACATGAAA